CTCCTCATTCTGATCCGTACAAATCCATTTTCTATCACAATTCTTTCTAGCTTTTYCCCCCCTTGTTTTCTAAATGTTTCTTCCATATTCCTGTATGCTTTTACATCTTTCTTCCCTGAAATTCTTCACATCTTTTGTTTCTTCGTCGGTTTTCTTTTCATGTTGTTTTCCATCTGCAGCTGGACAAATGTTTTACCAACTCCCTTTGTCTGCCATTATTTGTATGTGTCTTGCATTTTCTTCATAGTGTGTCAAATGTTGTTATACTCTATTTTTTTTTCATTGTCTTGATTTTCTCTTTTCCCCCCACTTAGTGTTCTCTATCTGCTTTCAGTCTTCTTATCTAATGGGTTCTCTTCTTAAACTATATTTCTTCCTCTGTATCACTTGGTTTCTGCCTCCTTCTCTCCTCAGGTCCAACGGTGGATAAATAAATAATGTCCAGGAACTGGCAGCATTTACAACACCAATATTGCATGCCTTACTTTCTTTCCTTTCCTCAAATTCCTCCTTCTATCCTCCTCCATTTTGGAAGCATCCTCTTGCCTTTGCTACCCCAAATATCTATTCCATCCTCCTTCTATCCTCCTCCATTTTGGAAGCATCCTCTTGCCTTTGCTACCCCAAATATCTATTCCATTGTTTCCCTCTTGGCAAAAAACGACAGGATAAAAACCACTGTCCTTTTGGGTCTAAATAAATGATAGCCTGCAGTCCCTTTTCCCCCCTTTTACAACGTCGAACCTCCACTTTTATCCAGTAAAAAAGGAGGAAGAGAATCTGTGGAAATAGAAGTAAATGGAGAGGAATAGTGAATTGAAATGTGTCACATCAGGCTGCGTTTTCTAAACCTCGTCAGGACACAAAATCCATCTGTCAAATAAGGAAACAAATGTTCAAGCCTGGTCCTTAAACTTTGTTCAAGGTGTTTATTCTGACAGGTTTTGGTTCTCTGCCAAGCATCTGTCTAACACTGGAAATAAACTTTTAGCAATTGTTTATTTCAGTTTTCCTACATAAATAAAAATCTTGATATGAAAATGTAGAACACAGCTTATTCATTGTGGCATATTTTGGTTAATGTTGATAACAAAACGAACATAAAAAACTATGTTTTTAAAACAAGGGTCTGTTTTAGGTCAGGATTTCATGCTATGTTCATGTTCATATCATACAAACAATAAAATGTGGTTGAACAATTGTGTGACTTATACAATTTTACGAATCAAATCACAAAAGTTTGACAAACTTAACCTATCCAAYTAAAGGTAAAACAAAATGTCATCACACGTAATTTCAGAAAGCAATTATAACTAAAAAATGAAAATAGCAAACTAAAATCGACTTAACTACATTATAATAAKCCAGACGCCCCCAATATTCAACTTTGAATTGTGAAAGCTGCCCCTGTGAAACATATTAGGTTCAGGTAAAGCCTAGTCTACTAAGAAATATCAGCTAATTAAAAATGACATGATTAATTAAAGTGGAGATTCATTAGCAGGACACACACAGAGCCACACGTCTTTCAATTAGCATGTGGCAAACACACACATTTAACCGAAGCACACATGAATAATTCCACACATCTCCGTATTGTCTGCAGCTTAAGTATTATCTCTCAKATACGACTGTAATTGTTGGCTGGTGTTTACACAGGCCTAATGAAATGGTCACATGCACAAACAAAACAAACATCTCATGAAGTGATCATTGCTTTTTTACTTRTTTGCTTTATTTGCATGGATGGCACAGATCTGGGCAGAGAATGGAGAAAAATGAAACAAAAGTACGCAAAAAGACACAAACTCAGTCCTAGAAATAAAAA